GCTTGTCGCTCCGTTATTAATGGGATCTCTTCCGCGGGAATTCCGCCAATAAGGTCGACGCGCAGGATCACGGCCTCTCTCTTTCTCGCTCTCCGTCTCTGTCGCTGTTTCCCCCGCGTTCTCCCCCGTCCGCACCCCCTATCTCGACGCTCAGGCTTGTCAAGCCGCTCTTTCTCTCTCTCCGGTCGAGCTTTTCAAAGTACACCGCGTACATGTAAAAAAAAGTGTAGAAAAAAATTGTACGCCCGACACGTCATATCTTACGGGGCGTGCAGCTTGCCGACGCTCTCGCCGACGCTCGATAACCGCGTTTGATGAATACCGATTTATCGCACCGTGTGTGCGTGCGTATCGTGTTTGTAAAACACGTGTGGGAGTATCTCACCTGTACGCGTAGTATCTTTCATCCAGCGCATTCGTCTGCGAAGGTGTTCGCAAAACAATTTGGTATCTCGCCCGGAAGGTAATCGAAAGCCGTGATCATGTATCGGGAAGAATTACAACGGCAGAATCGCAATGCGAAATGTACGAAACGTTAAATTATCACGACAGAAAAGTGTTGTCTTTCGCGAATAAGAGCGTGAAGATTTTAAAATAACTTAGCATCGCGCTCGAAGAATATTGAAACAATTTCGAAAATAATATTTAAAATATTTGAACTTTTTGAAGTATTTTAAGAACACATTTTCATACAGAGTTCTGATTATATGTCGACGAAAAAAATAATCGTGCAGGAAAATATAATAAAGACTAAGGATACCGGGAATCATCAACATTGTCAGTTGTATTGTGCACCCGTTGCATATTTCGCGTCCGAGGCACATCCGTTTTCGTCATTGTTCCGCGGAGCAACATTGTATAACCGCAATATGTACTTAGTAAGCACGTTCGGGATCCACGAATGCATTTCTGCTGTTTCCGCGTCACTTTTTTTCGTGGGCACGTATTAACAATTGACGAAAGAAATGTGCGTAAAAGAAGCACGAAGAGGAGGCTTGGCCCTTTAAATTATTATCTGTAATTCAATAAGTTTTTTTTTACACTTCTACGTTGGAAATAATTTGCAGCGACATGCTATTTTACTTACGATGTGTGAACGCTTTCTTTCCGGCAAAATATCGTTTTTCGCAACGTTGACGAAAATAACATCCGTTCGCCGAGGCTCGATTACAGCGCGATTGAGTTCTACGTTAATCCTTTTTTCGTTTAATTCCCCGGTAATCAACAGAGACAGAGAAGGAAAGAGAGAAAAAGAAATCACATATACATGTACACACGCGTACAGATACATACAGAGAAACACATACACACGCAGAGACACAATCGCAGTGTTCAATATTTTCGGAATCACCCTGTAGATCGGAATCTCGCATATAGTACTAACAGATTGTATAACACTTAACTAAGCTTTCCGTAACGATACGAAAGACATACGAACCTACGAATTGTTATGTTTTCTACAGTAACGTTTGTACTACCGACTTACAACAATATTTGTACAATATACGATAAAAGAGAACGTACCTATACAACATAGGTTACCCAGATGCAATAACTTTTTTAAACGGTGTTACCGGTTACCGGAATATTTTTCATACTTGTAACGACTCTCGTTGCGGCGCCCGCGCACCGTCCGTCCGTCCGTCACGACGCGGACGCGACGCGGCCCGGTCCCGCGGCGACCACTACTCGTTTCGTTTTGTGCCAACCAGTCTTAGATTTTGCTTTTTCAGGATTTAATAACATGGTGTTAAAGCGTAACAACACATGTAACCCGATCTTTAAGAAATCAATGCCCATGCCATTCCATCTCAGCACATCTCGACACCAAGCACCTACGCCCATTCGCTTGATTATCGAATGTCAGAGGGAGAGAAAGAGAAAGAAGAAAAGGGAGAGAGTGTGTATGCGCGCGTGTGTGTATGTGAGAGAGAAAGGGAGAAAGTTGAAAGACAGAGGGAAATGTGTAGTGTACACATAGTTTGTCAGTAAAAAAAAAAAA